TCCCCATCATATCTGAGACTTCTTGACAGAATGGAGAACAGAGCAAAACAACTCATCTCTCTCCTGGACAGGTCTGTCATTTCAGTAGAGTCTTCAACACCAGAGAGATGTGGGTGGCCTTACTGTTACGTACAAGGCTAATAATGTCAAAGTACCACACTTGGCTCCACTCTGCAGACAGCAGGAAATGAGCTTCTACATAACAAGACAGTCAGCAAGGAGCAATTACACTGTAGCTTTCTCCAGAACATCACTTCATCTGAGATAATTTATTCATAGGATTACTTGAGTCTAGAATATGTTTGTACAGCATTATGACATCAACAGAATAGTCAGTTGGCCAAATAAAATCACTGACCCACAGTTAACAACAACTCTATCCTGTTCTGTATGTGTTTCAAAACAAAAAGGGTTTAAAATGAGTTGATATAGGTAACAGCTCTTAACTTGTAAATAAAGTTAGGAACTCTAAACCTAACCTTGTAAAACTCTCTAAAGTTAAAAAGAAAAAAATCTCAAAGCATGATTGTATTAGTTTCTTCTTTGTATGTCTGGTCATGTAGCCAATACAGCACACCAAGTCTGGTTTTATGTTGTATTTATGTTATATGTAGTAATTAATATGAAGTTTTAGCAATGTATACCTCCATTATTTTTGTATGTGTGGTTAATATGAAGAAGTTTGACAATATATACCTCCAGTATGTATGTTGTATATAGTAGTAATATGAAGAAGTTTGACAATATATACCTCCAGTATGTATGTTGTATATAGTAGTAATATGAAGAAGTTTGACAATATATACCTCCATTATGTATGTTGTACATAGTAGTAATATGAAGAAGTTTGGCAATTCTTTTAACTTTCAAGATTGTCTATAAAATTCAATATGAACACTTCATTGATGAGTAACTTAATAGAATTCAATTCTACTGGCATAAAATCTAACCTGTTTAAATTCAATCCTATTAGTGTAAAATCTAACTTAATTTTTATTTTCTACAGGATAATGACAAACCAGAGGAGTGTAAAGTGTGCTTTAACAATTATGATGAAGAGCTACGACGACCACGCACTCTGCCATGTGGTCACACATTCTGCTCACAGTGTATTGAAGATACAATTAAGAACTCTCAGCTCACCTGCCCCAGCTGCCGTGCTGAGCACAGTGCCACAGATGCTACTCAGTTCCCGATCATCTATGCTATGGAGGCTGTGATAAAGAAACTCAGAAGTATCCAGGTTACATCAGTGGGAACAGTGTCAACAAAATGTGGTCAAGACCGCACAAGAGGCATAAGCAAAAAGTTACGATCTTTGGTACAGGAACACAAGAGCAGTATCAGTAACCTTATAAGTGAGTGTGAAGAAGCACTGTCCCAGCTGAGCAAGTACCAGGGGCAGGTGAGGGACTGGAAGATCCAGCATCACCAACTGCAGGACAGACTCTATGATCTGCTGGAGCAGAACAAGGCAGCAATAGAGCTCCTGGAACAGGAGGATACCAGTGTGCTGACTATGACAACAGAAGGAGAGGCAGGAAAGAAGCAGCTGCAGACCATGCTGGAGAACCTCAACACAGTCAACACTGCACGAGGTCGTCAAAAACCATTGATGAGGTGACATACAATGTGGAGGTTGAAATTGGATCCAGAAGTGTCAGGAACTTTTCCAATGTTAACACTGCTACACCTCAATAAAGGTATATGCCACAAATATTTAAACTTTCAAAACAATTTCTTAATTCATTTTTTATTAAATTACTGTTCTGTAAATATATACAAATCAAAGCAATATTCAGTTTTCTGTTTTTTTAAATAATTAAAACTTTCTCTTTTAAATGAAATTCCCAAAATATATATACGTTTTTTACGCTCTCCTCAAAATTTTTTATTAAAATTTTATTTTACCTGCCCGTAAAATTTGGAAAAATTTGGGCCGAGATGCCCGGGAGCATAGAATGGGTCTTAACACTCAGTGGGGGCACCCAATTAAAAAAAAACTGGGACCACTTAGTACCTTGTTGAGCATCATTAAATAAGGCCACTAGAGCAAACAGGCGCAAAAACCAAAGGGTTCAGGTAATGTCATGTTAAAACTCCCCTTTAAGAGGAAAGTGATGTTGGCCCAAGTTTAAAGGGGCCTGTCATCTGTTTCTGTTACCTTTGGCCTACCTTCTTATCTCTCTCTCACAGGTACACATAAATACAATTATACTTAGTGTAAATTACCTAGGATAACCTAAAAAAAAATCCAGAGTTCTATACTGTGCTTGTAGATATAATGCATAAGAATACCTGTTGGTTCACAATGGGTCTCTCTGAGACAGAGAGACAGAAAGAGAGACAAGCATACAGAGAGACAAGACTTTGAGACATAAGCAGAGACAGTGATGCCGACGCTCATCCAATGTCATCCCTTATCTCATCTTATCTCTGCACCCTCACAGGTGCCCATCAAATGTCTTCCCTTATCTTATCACTGCCCTCCAGATGCTTGTCAGTGACATCATGCTTCAAGGGAACTTCTTCTTCCCTCTTCTTCCTTCTTCTTCCTTCTTCCTCCTCCTCATTTCTTCTTTCTTCTTCTTCTTCTATACTCCAGTGTATCCAAAACATTGCTTGTGCCAATAAATACTTTGTATATATTCCTAGACAACAGTAAATGACCAAGGCAGGTGTAAATGTCCACCTGTCAGTGTGTTTGTGACAATTTGAGTAAAATTTCAGTACCTAATATTAGTGTCACAACATAGATTGGTTATGAAATGGCAAGAACTACTATAAATTGTAATTATCAGAGCATAAAAATTATATAAAATATAAAAATTATTAAAAAAAAAGGTATATCGGCAACACTTGTGCAAGTGGCAGGAGTTGATGCTGCCTCATATTTCAGTAAGTACTGACCCAATTTGTTTTATTTCAATCCTATGACACTTAGAAAAATTTTCTCTCTACTTCAGTAAAAAAAATTATTTTTCAAAATATTCGGGGCACTGGGCGAGAGAACGTATATATATGTTTGACCATTTAGGGGTTAAATGCACTGGCCGTATCCCACTGAAGGAGGGTGACCCAAAAGAAAAACAAAACTTTCTTCATAAATTTAGTAATGTATACAGGAGAAGGGCTTATTAGCTCCATGCTTCCGGTATTTTAGAACAAATACTAGTAAGAAAAGAGAAGAAAACCCAGAGGAGTGTGTATTTGTATGCTTGTACATGCATGTGTAGTGTGACCTAAGTGTAAGAAGTAGTAGTAAGATGTACCTGAAATCTTGCATGTTTATGATACAGTAAAAAGACACCAGCAATCCTACCATCATGTAAAACAATTACAGGCTTCTGTTTTACACTCACTTGGCAGGACGGTAGTATCTCCCTGGATGGTTCCTGTCTACCAACCTACCACCTAGGAAATATATTAATATATTCAGTAAACACTTTGCGTACATGTATTTGTTTTAAATTGTCTTTGGCAAGCAGATTATAAATGTTTCCACATAGAAGGAGACTAAAATACTGGCAACAAGGAGCTGCTTACAACCATTACTATGTCAATACAAAACAAAAATATATTGATCTTAGGATGAGGGTCTCCACCTCCTTTTATTTGTTGTGAGGGACACCACTCAGAAATAATTAGGTTATATCCCTTGTGAAGTGATTTACGGTCAGCAAGTACAGGTCTTTGTAGATGAATGGTTCAGAGAACCGACATGTTGATAAATTAGACACATGTGCAACTCTTGGGTATCTTTATTGAGGAAAC